CCATCATTTTAGTGCAATATTGAAATTAGCTTGAATTCTTCATAACCTCTGAACAGGTCACAGGTGGTCTAGTAAGTTATTAAATTGCTGGTGGATTCTAATTGTTAATTTTTTCAAATAAATACTGTAACTTAAACTGTTATATTATTAAATATTTACTGTCTTATTTTTAGAGACAGAGAACTGAGGTTACAAGCACTAAGTGCAGCCCAACAGGCTGTAGTAGAAGGACTACAGAAGAAAATTCAGCAAAAGGTAAAATTTTTGAATAATGAAAATAAATTAAGCTAAAGACTTATAGTGCATGTTTCATTGAGATTCATTTTTGTAATTTTTCCACATCAATAGTAAAAGTTCTCATTAGTAAGTATTTTAGAAAAAGTTTACAGCTTTAAAAATGGCTACTTGACTGAAACATTCAGTTTCGTACTAAATATTGTATTTTATGTTCTGCTATAATGATTATTTCAAAGAAGCCATCATTAGTTCCCAAAATTCTATTTGACCTGATGATTGTAGTAAAATATTTCCTATAATTTTCTTGTTCTGTTTGGAAAATATATAGTTATGTTTATAAAACAAGAAATTTTGAAGAAGTTTGTCAAAGAAAGAATGATGCATGAATTTTCTCTTGATATTAAATGAAATTACTAATTTCAGATAATATTAGATCTTTCTGTATAAAAATTATTTTTCTTTTATTTGCCCCTGTCTACTTATTTGAAAATTACTAAGAATTTTTCAGTCTTGTGTTTAAACTGTACATTACAGCATTATATATGGTGTCGAATGAATTCATATTTAGCAAGAAGAAAGTGCCCGTCGTCATGAGGAAAACATGGAACAGATACGACAGAAGGCTTTTGAACTTAGTGTTCGACGATATTCTTCTGTAAATGATGATGTGCCACGACTTGTGCCTTATGAAGTGAAAAAAATGTGTATTTTATGTAATGTGTTGGTAAGATAACACTTTTTTTCCCTTAATCCTTTAATAAAAGAAATAGCTACAAAGAAACAAAAGAGTGAACTTGTTTTTCATTCTGAATTATAGCTCTCTCAACGTGTTGCAGATCAAAACCATTTCGTGATGTGTAAAGTAATTGGATATGTCAGACTTAGCCTTTTCAACCAACTTTATGATTGTTTTTTTTTATCATCATTGACAACATTGTAAATTATAGCAAAAAAATGTGTGTCTTAATCTATTTTTGAATTTCCAAAATGTCATTGAACTGTATTGACATGGGAGAAGTTCACTTGCTCAAGTTGTTCTTTAAAACAACAACTAGACTATATTTTTATAGACATAAAATATTAAATTAGTTGAGGTAAATAATGGACAATAAGCACCATGTATCACAATAACATACCACACTGACTACAGTTCCAATTGAATGTTATGTGTGGGCTGTTAAGTAGCTATTTTCTGAAATAGTTGATGCACATGAATTTGTATTTCAGCAGTTCATTAAAGCATTATATGTCAAAAGCAAGAAAAGTCACAACAAAACACTTACAGAATGAAAGTTTGTCAAATATGGCTAGGTTTAACCTTGATATATGCATTCAATTAGTAAGCAACTTAGTTTTGACTGGATTTTTCTGTATTTTATATGTTGGCAGCTCAGTTCTTCCCTTGACAGTTCTGTATCTTATATATTAGCAGTGTAGTTTGGCTGGATTCATCTGTATTTTATATGATGCCAGTTCAGTTCTTGCTCGACTATTCTGTATCTTATATGTTGATAATATAGTTTGGCTGGAATAGTCTATATCTGGTATGTCAATAAATTAGATATGGCTGCACCAGTCTGTATCTTGTATTTCAACAACTCATTTCTAGTTGTATTCATCTCTTTCTCGTATGTCAATAACCTAGTTCTGGCTAGATTACTCTGTATCTTGTATGTCAATAACCTCTTGCAGGCTGCAGTAGTCTCCATCTTGTATGTTCCTAACATAGTTCAGGCTGGACTAGTCTGTATCTTGTATGTCAACAACTCATTCCTGGTTGTATTAGTCTGTATCTTCTATGTCAATAACCTAGTTCAGACTGAACTAGGCTGTACCTTGTGTATCTAACAACACATTTATGAACATAATAGTCTATATATATTGTATGTCAATAACTTAGTTCTGGCTAGAATACTCTTATCTTGTATGTTCCCAACATAGTTTGGCTGGACTAGTCTGTACCTTGTGTATCTAACAACACATTTATGAACATAATAGTCTATATATATTGTATGTCAATAACTTAGTTCTGGCTAGAATACTCTTATCTTGTATGTTCCCAACATAGTTTGGCTGGACTGGTATGTATCTTATTTCTCAACAACTCATTTCTGATTGTACTTGTCTGTACCTTGTATAACAATAACACATTTCTGATTGCATTAGTCTGTACTTTTTATGTCAACAACTCATTTCTGATTGTATTAGTCTGTATCTTGTATGTAAATAACACATTTCTGATTCTATTACTCTATATCTTGTATTTTAGTAACCTAGTTCTGGCTACACTAGTCTCTATCTTGTATGTCAGTAACTCAGTGCTGCTAGACTAGTCTGTATCTTGTATGTAAATAACTCATTTCTGATTCTATTACTCTATATCTTGTATTTTAGTAACCTAGTTCTGGCTACACTAGTCTCTATCTTGTATGTCAGTAACTCAGTGCTGCTAGACTAGTCTGTATCTTGAATGTCAACAACTCATTTTCTTATTCTGTATCTTGTGTGTCAACAACTCATTTCTGATTGAGCTAGAATGTATCGTGTATGTCAACAACACATTTATCCGTGCATTAATCTGTATCTTGTATATAAACAACTCATTTCTGATTGAATTAATATATACCTTATATGTCAACAAGTCATTTCTGATAGTATTAGTCTGTAGCTTGTATATCACTAACTCAGTTATAGCTGGACTGCTCTGTACCTTGTATGTCAACAACTGATATCTGGCTGTACTAGTCTGTATCTTCTATATCAACAACTCTTTTTTTCTATTGTATTAGTATGTATCTTCAATGTCAACAATCTTTTCTGATTATATTAGTCGGTACCTTGTATGTCAACAAATCATTTATGTTTGTACTTGTATGTCAGTAACATAGTTCTCGCTCCAATAGTCTCTATCTTGTATATCATCAACTCATTTCTGATTTTATTAGTGTCTGTCTTGTATATCAACAACTCATTTCTGATTTTATTAGTGTCTGTCTTGTATATCAACAACTCATTTCTGATTGTATTAGTCTGTATCTTGTATATCATCAACTCATTTCTGATTGTATTAGTCTGTACCTTGTATGTAAACAACTCATTTTTGGTGCTAATAGTCTGTAGCTTATATGTCAATAACTGATCTCTGGTTGATTTAGTCTGTGTCTTTTCTATTGGTAACAATCTGTATATTGTATGTCAATAACTTAGTTCTCACTGGGCTAGTCTGTATCTTGTTTGTCAACAACTCATTTCTGATTGTATTAGTCAGTAGCCTGTATGTCAGTAACCTAGTTCAAGCTGGACTAGTCAGTACCTTGTATATCAGCAACTGATCTCTGATTGCATTAGTCTGTATCTTGTATGTCAGTAATCTAGTTCTTGCTACAATAGTCTGTATTTTGTATGTAAACAACTCATTTCTGATTGTATTAGTCTCTATCTTGTATGTCAGTAACCTAGTTCTGACTGAACTAGTCTGTCTCTTGAATGACAGTAACCTAATTCCCGATTCTATTAGTCTGTACCTTGTATGTCAAAAGCTCATTTCGGATTGTATTAGTTTGTATCTTGTATGTCAGTAACCTAGTTTTGGCAGGACTATTCTGTGTCTTGTATGTAAATAACTCATTTCTGATTTTATTAGTCTCTATCTTGTATATCAACAACTCATTTCTGATTGTATTAGTCTGTATCTTCTATATCAACAACTCACTTCTGATTCTGTTAGTCTGTACCCTGTATGTCAACAACTCATTTCTGATTCTGTTAGTCTATATCTTGTATTTCAGCAACCTAGTTCTGGCTACACTTGTATCTTTCTTGTATGTCAGTAACTTGGTTCTGGCTAGATTATTCTGCATCTTGAATGTCAACAAGGCATTCCTTAATGTATTATTCTGTATCTTGTATGTCAACAACTCATTTATTAGTCTATTAATCTGTATCTTGTATGTCAGTAACTTAGTTCTAGCTAGAATAGTCTGTATCTTGTATCTGACAACTCATTTCTAAATGTATTAGTCTGTACCTTTTATGTCAACAACTCGTTTCTGATGCTAATAGTATGTAGCTTGTATGTCAACAACTGATCTCTGGTTGTTTTATTCTGTATCTTTTCTATCATTAATAATATATATATTGTATGTCAGTAACCTAGTTCAGACTGGACTAGTCTGTACCTTGTATATCAACAACTCTTCTCTGATTGTATTACTCTGTATCTTGTATGTCAGTAATCTAGTTCTTGCTACAATAGTCTGTATCTTGTATGTCAGTAACCTAGTTCAGACTGGACTAGTCTGTACCTTGTATATCAACAACTCGTCTCTGATTGTATTACTCTGTATCTTGTATGTCAGTAATCTAGTTCTTGCTACAATACTCAGTATCTTGTGTGTGAACAACTCATTTCTAATTGTATTAGTCTATATCTTCTATTTCAACAACTCATTTCTAGTTGTATCTTGTATTTTTGTATCTTGTATTTCAGCAACCTAGTTCTGGCTACACTAATGTGTATCTTGTATGTCAACAAGGCATTCCTTAGTGTATTAATCTGTATCTTGTATGTAACAATTAATTTCTAAATGTATTAGTCTGTATCATTTATATCAACAACTCATCTTTGATTGTAGTACTCTGTATTTTGTATGTCAGTAATCTAGTTCTTGCTACAATAGTCTGTATCTTGTATGTGAACAACTCATTTCTGATTGTGTTAGTATGTATCTTTTTTGTCAATAACTCATCTCTGATTATATTAGTCTGTATCATGTATTTCAGTAATCTAGTTCTTGCTACAATAGTCTGTATCTTGTATGTCAGTAACCTAGTTCTGACTGGACTAGTCTGTATCTGCTAAGTCAATAACTCAGTTCTAACTGGACTTGTCTGTCTCTTGTATGACAGTAACCTAATTCCCGATTGTATTGGTCAGTACCTTGTATGTCAACAACTCATTTTGGATTGTATTAGTCTGTATCTTGTACATCAGTAACCTAGATTTGGCTGGACTATTCTGTATCTTGTATGTAAATAACTCATTTCTTGTTTTAATAGTCTGTAGCTTGTATGTCAACAACTGATCTCTGGTTGTTTTAGTCTGTATCTTTTCTATCGATAACAATCTGTATATTGTATGTCAATAACTTAGTTCTGGCTAGAATAATCTGTATCTTTTATGTCAACAACTTATTATTTAGTGTATTAGACTGTATCTTGTTTGTCAACAACTCATTTCTGACTGGATTAGTCTGTATCTTCTAAGTCAGTAACTTAGATCAGGCTGGACTTGTCTGTCTCTTCTTTGACAGTAACCTAATTCCCATTTGTATTGGTCAGTACCTTGTATGTCAGTAACTCATTTATGAATCTAGTAGCATGTATCTTGTTTATCAACAACTCATTTTGGATTGTATTAGTCTGTATATCAGTAATCTAGTTCTTGCTGAACTAGTCTGTATCTTCTATCTCAACAACTCATTTCTGGTTGTATTAGTCTGTACCTGATTTTATTCAGCTTTATTTTTTAAATTGAGTTATTTTTGTAGTTTTATTTGGTACATGATTTTTATAAAATTTGGTTCCATTTTAATTTAGTATTGTAGACTTTTAATTTCGTAATTTTATTTTGTTTTGTAACAGTTTCGATCTCGTAGTGCCTGCAAAATGTACACATTTTATGTAATTTTTGTTTTATTTTAGTTGGGCATTATGTGTTAAGTA